TCTTGCACTGTTGGTGGGAATGTAAATTTATACAGACACTATGGAGAACAGTATGGAGGTTCCTTAAAAAACTAAAAGTAGGGGCTTCCCTGGTAGCGCAGTGGTTGAGAGTCCGCCTGCCGATGCAAGGGACACGGGTTCGTGCCCCAGTCTGGGAAGATCCCACATGCTGCGGAGCGGCTGGGCCCGTGAGCCATGGCCGTTGAGCCTGCGCATCCGGAGCCTGCACTTCTGGAGCCTGTGCTCCGCAACGGGAGAGGCCACAACAGTGAGAGGCCCGCGTACCACCAAAAAAAACAAAAAAAACAAAAAAAACTAAAAGTAGAATTACCATATGACCCAGTAATCTCACTACTGGGCATATAGCCAGAGAAAACCATAATTCAAAAAGTCACATGCACCCCAAAGTTCATTGCAGCACTATTTACAATAGCCAGGTCATGGAAGCAACCTAAATGTCCATCGACAGACGAATGGATAAAGAAGATATGGTACATATATACAATGGAATATTTCTCAGCCATAAAAGGGAATGAAATTGGGTCATTTGTAGAGACGTGGTTGGCTCTAGAGACTGTCATACAGAGTGAAGTAAGTCAGAAAGAGCAAACCAAATATCGTATATTAACGCATATATGTGGAACCTAGAAAAATGTTACAGATGAACCGGTTTGCATGGCAGAAGTAGAGACACAGTTGTAGAGAACAAACGTATGGACACCAAGGGGGGAAAGTGGCGGGGTGGGTGTGATGAATTGGGAGATTGGGATTGACATGTATACACTAATATGTATAAAATGGATAACTATAAGAACCTGCTGTATAAAAAAATTAAATAAAATTCAAAAAAAATTATGGCAGATGGAAAATAAGTGTTGAGATTTAAGGAGAAAGAAGATTGTTGTGAGCTTGAATGAAACGGGACAGCTTTGGGGAAGGGTGGACCTAGACTATTTCTTAAAGATGGGGTAAAAATTGGGTTATTGAAGGAAGGGAGCCTCCAAGAGGAGGAATAGTATTTAAAAAGAGGCATAGAGACAATCACCGAACTCATGTTAAGTTGTCTTATCATAATATTTCTGTCGACGATTGCATTTAAAATATCAATGTGTGTGTGTATATAGAGAAAGAAATCTGTTAGAAAAGTAAATTTATATATAATATATGTAATCAGAGATACATATGTTATATATACATATGTGAGATGTATGACTTATTTTTCCTTATCCACAGAATTCAGCTACCATGTATATATAAATAAACTTATTTTATTAACCAGAAAAAAAAAAAGGCCTAGAGATAAAGATTACAGTCAGTCAGTGATCGGGAAGAAGTTGCGTCAGCCATTCTTGTTCTAGATGGGAGCCAAGTATGTTGCTTGTCAAGATTTTGCTGGTGGCCTCCTGCCCTGGAATAGAACTGCTCGTACCCCTTGGAGCCTGTTTCGTGGCAATGTCGTGGTGGCATTACCTTGGTTTTGCATTGGGGAGAGACGGCCAGTGACACCTACCTCCTGAGCCTGGGTGACTGCAAAGAAAGATGGTTCTGTCAACTAAATGGAGGGCATGGAAAGCTTGTTTCACATGAGTAACCCTTTAGTGGAGGTGGCACAGATTCATCCAGGTAATACCCTTGGCACCTAGAAGAGTGCTTGCACGGAATAGGTGCTCGAAACATAACTTTTTCAGTGAATTGTTCAGTGAATGAATGTGAATAAAGATAGGGAAAAGAGGAATGGTAATGGAATTTTTCCACTCCCTGATGGATGGATGCTTTTGTAATGTCTTGCCTTTTTGTGCAAATCATCTCTTCATTGGTCTAAACATCTCTGGTTTTTCCCATTCCCTTCTTCTTTTTTTTTTAATTGAGGTAAAATACAATAACAATAAAACTTACTATCTTAACCATTTTTAAATGTACAATTCAGTAGTACTAAGTACATTCATATTGTGCATTTTCCACTCTTCATAGATGGTTTTGAGTTTCCTTTTCAACTTGGTCACTTATCTCTGAATGCACTTGGATATGTCACCTGGTACACAGTAGTGCATGTCTGATTGAATCCTCTGAGAGGAGCTGAGGCATGTCATCTCTTAACTGTGGACATTGTAATCCTGTTTGGAAATCTGGTCACCATTTGACTCACATTACCTAATAAGCAAGTTATTCTTTGTCATAGACCAGCTAACAGGTCTTTCCCATTCTTTAGTGTAGTGCTTTCTGTATCTTCCTATTCAGTTTCATATGTGAAATCTGGCTCCTCTTACTAGACTGTTGGGGATTGCTTTCTTCTTTGTTCGGATTTTTCACTTGTTGGCTTCACTTACCAGTTTTGCTCAGGATGCCTTCATAATAGTTGGATTAGTTCATTAGCAACCTGCAAAAATTACATCTCTAACTATAAAAATTGCCCATATCTCCCAATTCTTCAACCTATTCACAAGGATATTGTTATTAGTGACATTTTCAAAAATGCCTTTTTGAAATCTTCATCTATCTGGTTGCATTTCTCTGATCTGCTGCTGTTCTTTGTTGTTACTATTGCTGTTGTTGTTTTTATTCACAGAAGTATAAAGTTTCCCAGTGAATTTTTACGTGTTCCTAGTAATTTTTACTTCTTTTAAAGTAGTCATATACCATCCACTTAATCAGTCCTTGACTTTTGTTTGTCCAGTATATGACTGATGTAATTTTCTTTATTTCTCTTTTTGAGAAGCAAGACAACTTGCATTTTAATCTTTTTTTATATAACAGCTTTCTTATGATACAATTCACATACCATACAACTAATCCATTTAATTCAGTGGTTTTTAGTATATTCACTGATATATGTGACTGTCACCACAGTCAGTTCTAGAACATCTTCATTACCTCAAAAAGAGACGCCATTCCTTTAGCTCTCATTCCTCCATCTCCCATATTCCTTAGTTCTAAGCAACAGCTAATCTCCTTTCTGTCTCTGTATGCCTTTCATCTTTAACACCTGTCTCGTACTGTGGGATTTCCCAGATGTTAATGAGAATAGTTTTACTAATTCTCCAAGTCTCCAAGTGTACAGTTCATCTGGTTAGGAGACAATTCATTTAGAACAACTAGATACTTATTCCTCTGTCTTAAACACATTTGTTTTACCCTCTCTGATCTGAAAAGTACTTTTCTGAATTTATTCACTGAACATATATTTGAATGCCTTCTATAAGCAAAGCTTTATGCTTAAATGAGTAACATGGATTCTGCTCTCATGAAGTTTATGTCTAGAAAAACATTCCCATTCCTAAGTATAATTGTCAACAGGCATTTCAAAAATATGTGTGAGGTGTTTTCCTGAATGCTGGAATTGTAAAGGGGAATAAGAGGCTGTTGTGAAAGGGAGACTATACTACGGTGTGTTAAATGCCATAATAACATATAAGATATCGTGGGGACAAAGTAGAATATTCAGGTCTGTCAAGGACTAGGGGTTGTCAGACCCTACAAAAGAGGCCTATCTTGCAGGTTTGTTTAGTAGTTTTTTAGGTAAATGACCAGCATAGGGAATAGTATGTTTAAAGGCCTTGACAGTTTTTTGAAAACAATATTCTTGCTCAAGTGTCAAGTTTAATAGAGGGCTTAGCAAGAGAAGAAGTGGGTTGATATTCTGTTATGGAGGGCTTTGAGTGTACTGCAAGGGAGTTTTGGCTTTTTTTTTGGTGGCATTAGGTTTTTGAGAAGGTGAATAATATGATCAGGTCTTTTCATTACCATATATTATAAGCAGTAAAATGGTAGCTGGATTTGCAGAAAACCGTTGTTAGGGAACCAAGTGTTAGAAGTTATTATAGCATGAACAGTCTAGATGAGATGCTAGAATCCTCAGCATAAATAGTGGCACAGGAAATGAAAAGAAGAGGTTGAAATTCAGACTAACAGAGAATGGATGGCATCCTTTTAAATATTTATTATGGTACAAATATTGAAAAAAGTCAAAAATCACTCTCAGCTTTCTATTGTAAAAGAAAAGACACTCTGGAAAAGTAAGGGGTTGGGGTTGGAAGGATAATGAGTTCAGTTTTATATTATTTTGTGAGACCTCATGTGAGGTAGCTGTGAAAATCTGAGACTCATAAACTAAGCAAGGACTTTTAATGAGTATTTAGAAAAACACCATAGAGATGTTTGGAGAAAAAGACATACATAGTATCACCCAAGAAAAGGGTACAGATAAAGGAGGAGGATTAAAACAAAATAGTGGGAAAGAGAGCATGTCTATGGATAAACTAGTGGAATAGACTGGAAATGAGGAAAACTGGGGAAGTGCAGTATTATGAAAAACCAGGGGGCGAAAGGGCTGAGATTATATAGAAATATTGAGTTGGATAAGAGCTGGCAGAAGGTATTTAAGATTTGCTTACAAATTATGTAGAGGGTTGTATAATGTAGGTTCTTGATAATTGAATGTTCATAAATGGAATGGATTTTGTGGAGCTCTTCTGTTGATATTGTGTGTGTGTGAAGGCTGTTTTTTTAGAGCAGTTTTCGGTGCACAGCAAGATTGAGAGAAAGGTACAGAGATTTCCCATATACCCCCTGCCCACGCACAGGCACAGCTTTCTGCATTATTAACATCCCCCACCAGAGTGGTGCATTTGTTATAATCAGTGAACCTGCATTGACACCTCCTTATCACCCAAAGTCCATAGTTTACATTAGGGTTCACTTTTGGTGTTGTACATTCTATGGGATTGGATAAATGTACAATGACATATATCTACCATTATAGTATCATTCAGGGTATTGTCACTGCCCTTAAGAATCTCTGTGCTCTGCTTCCCTCCCTGCCCCCAACCCCTGGCCATAAAGTTTTATTATATAAAATAAAAGGGATTACTTAAGCTTAGAACATAAGACTTGAAAAATTTTACACTGAAGGTGGCTTTTTTTTAATCCATGTATTTGCAGTTCCCAAATGAAAATATTATTAAGGAATTTCTAATTTTCCTATTTCTCTGCTTTTGCCACAGATAATTGGCCTTTTGAATGTTTTTACACCACAGAAATCCCTAGAAGAATTTCAAGATGTGTAAGTGTGATAATTAAAATTTTGTTAATACATTGTTCTTCGATTGTTACTGTATACTTCAGCTGTCATATTTTTTCACCCGTGAAGTTACATAGTCATGGAGCTCATGGATGCAAATCTTTGTCAAGTGATTCAGATGGAACTAGATCATGAAAGAATGTCCTACCTTCTCTATCAGATGCTGTGTGGAATCAAACACCTTCACTCTGCTGGAATTATTCATCGGGTTAGTAGAAAAAACTGTCATATTCTTTTTCTAATCATAGAGGTATAATTCATGTAACATAAAATTAACCATCTTAAAGTGTACAATTCAATGATATTTAGTGCATTCACAACATTGTGCAACCACTACCGATACCAAATTTCAAAATATATTCATTGCCCCAAAAGAAAACTGCCTACCCATTAGGCAGTAGCTCCCCATTCCCCTCTCACCCCAACCCCTGGCATATACCAGTCTGCTTTCTGTGTCCATGGATATACCTCTTCTGGATGTTTCATATAGGTGGAATCATACAATATATGACCTTTTGTGTCTGGTTTCTTTAACTTAGCGTAGTGTGTTCAAGTTCACCCATATTGAAGCATATATCAGTAGTTCATTCCTTTTTATGACTGATTAATATTCTTTTGTATGTATTTACCACATTTTGTTTATCCATTCATCCATTCATGGACATTTGGGTTATTTCCACCTTTTAGCTTTTGTGGATAGTGCTGTTGTGAACATTAAGGTACAGGTATTTGTTTGAGTTCCTGTTTTCAGTTCTTTTGGGTATCTACCTTGGAGTTGAATTGCTGGGTCATATTTAACTTTCTGAGGAATGAACAAACTTTTCCACAGTGGGTACACCATTTTACATTCCCAGCAGCAGTGCACGAAAGTTCCATCTTCCCCAGATCTTTGCTAATACTTAATGACTTTTTCATTCTAGCCATTACTAGTGAGTATGAAGTGGCATCTCATTGTGGTTTTGACTTGCATTTCTGTAATGACATTGAGCATCTTTTCATGTTTGTTGGACGTTTATATATCTTCTTGGGAGAAATGTCTATTCAAGCTCTGCCCATTTTTTAATTGAGTTGTTTGTCTTTGTTGTTGAGTTATTAGAGTTCTTTATATATTCTGAATACTAGACCCTTATCAGATAAGTAATTTGTAAATATTTTCTCTGAATTTGTATGTTGTTTTTTTCACTTCCTTGATCTCTTTTGATATGGAGATGTTTTTACTTTTCATGAAAATCAGTTTATTTTTTTTTTGGTTGCTTGTCCTTTTAGTGTCATATGTAAGACTCTATTGTGAAATCTGAGGTCATTAAGATTCACCCCTAGTTTTCCATCAAGAGTTTTATAGTTCTGGCTCTTACATTTAGGTCTTCGACCCATTTTGAGTTAATTTTTGTATATGGTGTGAGATAAGGTGCCAACTTCATTCTTTCACTTGTGGAAATCCAGTTATCCCAGCATCATTTATTAAAAAGACTATTGTTTTCTAATTGAATGGTCTTGGCACCCTTATTGAAATTCAGTTGGCCGTAGACATATGGATTTATTTTGGGACTCCTAGTTCTCTATTCCATTGGTCTTTGTGTCTGTGCTTATATCAGAACCACATTATTTTGATCACTGTAGCTTTGTAGTAAATTTTGAAATGGGAAAGTGTGAGTCTACCAACTTTATTCTTTCTCAGTATCATTTTGACTACTCAGGGCCTGTTGTGATTCCACATGAATTTGAGTATCAGCTTTTCCATTTCTGCAGAAAAGTCCATTGGAATTTTAATAAGGGTTTCATTGACTGTACATTGCTTGGGTAGTTTTGCCATCTTAACTATATTTAGTATTCAGATTCATGAACACAGGATGTCTTTCCATTTACTTAGGTTGTATTAGTCTGTTTGGGGTACCATAACAAAATACCACAGACTGGGTGGCTTAAAAAACAGAAATTTATTTTCTCACAGTTTGGGAGGTTAGAAGTCCAGGACCAAGGTGCAAATAAATTCAGTTTCTGGTGAGATCTCTCTTCCTGGCTTGGAGATAGCTGCCTTCTTGCTGTGTCCTCACATGCCCTTTCCTCTGTGCATGCAGGAAGAGAGAGCAAGCTCTGGTGTCTTTTTCTTTTCTGTAAGGACATCAGTTCTTTTGTATTGGGGTCCCACCCTCATGACTTCATTTAACCTTAATTACCTCCATAAGGGCCTGATCTCCAAATACAGTCACATTAAGGGTCTTTTACCTATGATGAAAAATATGCCTTTATCTTAGATCAGGCTGTTTAGGAAACAAACTCAAGGATGGAGATATATTGACATGTAAGCAGTTTAATGGGGAGTCCTCTCAGGATCAACATCTGTGGGGAGTAAAGGAAGTAAAAAATAGACATAGGGGAGAAATTAGATGCAGTCACTCTAGAGGCCTCAACTGGTGACTCAAGCAGACCTTGGTCTTGGAGAGCAGACTTTGGAAAAAGTGGCTCTCTGTGGCTGAGGGCATTTCCTGGAGAGAGATTTGCTGAAAACTGTCAGTAGTCAACACTGCCAGCCCCTGGAAGAATGAGTGCCTCAGTCCTAAACCCAGGCTCAGAGCAGGTATCACAGCACCCACCATAGGCCACCCCTGGTGCCATTTGTTCCTACTTCTTTCATACGGTAAGCTCTGGAAACTGTTTTTCCAGGATTTTATTTGATGTCTGTTCCTTGAGCAAGTTCCAAGAAGTTTAATGGGATAAACCATAGCACCCATTTCTATAGCTGGTCTTGAGGCCATAATTGATACTCACCTCTGTGCTCTACTCGTAAATTCTCCTTACCTACCCTCTCTGCTTGCCGGAGATTACTTGCTTGATAAAATAACCTGAGCTTTCATCCTTTAGGGGTTCAGTACAAGTCAGGATGGGGGATGGAGTTCCACATATTTGCTCAGAGATCCAAGCTAAGCTGTATAAGGCTCCAGCATCTAGATAGTTGCTGGTCCCTGTGTCAGGGGAAGAAAAAGCCAGGTGGAATGTACTGGGTCTAAGGCCATGGGCAGAACTAGTCATAAGGACCTGCCTAATTGTAAGGGAACTGGGAAATGGGGGGAGGCAGTCTTCAGAATGGTCTGTGCCATTCTGCTCTGCTTATCAAGCATTCCTTTGCTTCCTTTATTCCACACCTAGTACCTAGTCACCCCCTCCTTAGGGAAGATAACCCAGAGTCCTAGCCTATCAAGGCATTTAGTGCTGTGATACATAGTAATCTCTACATTAATCCAGATATTTCTTCTTTTGGTCCAGAAATATTAGAACTAAAATGACCAAATTATCTGGTCACTTGCATCTCCTCCCCCTCCCCCCATTCCCTAGATATGGTGGTCAAACAGGGTCAGGGTAACTACAATAAACAATCCCATTTGGGAAATTGAAAAATGCAGTCGTTATTTATTTGTAATTCTGTTGTGTAGACATTGTTAGCGTTCTTTTGCCCTTGTGGTGGGGAAGACTACTCCTTGATTAGGCCCTGAATCTGATCTCTGCAAGGAGTACTCTGTCCACTCTTCTCTGTGGTACCTGGCTCCACCCTGTGGAGAGTCTTTTCTGCTAGCCTTCTTGAGTATATCTGAAGTGGGTATTGGAAAGTGTGTTCTCATTGGGGGCTGCCCCTGTTTCACTCCTATCTGTTAAAGATTGGAGGCCCAAGTGTCACTTTAAGACAGTCCTTAACCTGGACACTATTGACATTTTGGATGAATAATTCTTTCTTTTGAGGGGCTGTCCTGTACATTGTAGAAAGTTTAGCAGCATTCCTGGCCTTTACCCATGAGATGCCAGTAGTACTCCCCAATTGTGACAACCAAAAATGTCTTTAGACATTGCCAAATATCCCCTGGGAACAAAATTGCCCTGATTTGAGAACCATTGTTTTAAGGCTAGAACAGTCACAGCCTTAAGGAGTTCTTTTTTTTAAAATGGTACATCTCTCTTAGAAACTCAGGAGACTTCTTATGTTTTTAATTACAGTTCTTTTCAAAGCACATCTGGTAGCTCACTGGCTCTATATTCTTGGACTTAATGTCTGCCTTTATGTTTTTAGGCCTCTGTTGGCAAGTCTGAGGTATTTTCATCAACTGAAAGATTTTTCAGGTCTTCTTCCATCAAAGGCTTTCAGAATTGTTATGTGAAAATGGTGCATTAGAAACAAATTCAAGATATCAGTGGCTTACAACAACATTTATTGCTTGCTCAGGGGTCTGCAGGTTGGCTGTGTGGCACTGCTCCAGATCATGGGATCAGGTTCAGGGTTTGTTTCATGTCCAGCTTTTAGCATCCAGGCTGAAGGAGTGCCTCCCTGGGGCACATCCTTTTCTCATGGTGAAAGAAGGGCAAGAGCCAAGCTAAATCAGTCAAGCACATCTAAAACTTCTCTTCAGATTTGATGAACATCACATTTCCTCACATTCCATTGGCCAGAATTACTGTAGGCCCATCGATAAGGTGAAGAAGTATATTGGGTTAGGAGGTGGAGATATTTGCTGAGCAACCTGCTATTTTTTCTTTTTTTTTCTTTTTGAAAGGTCTAGTAGCATTTAGCTTTCCCAGAATGGCAAGGCCTTGAAATTCTAGATTCTCTGTTCCCTTTTATTTCTTCTTGTGAAGTGGCCAATTCTTTGATTTGTAGCCCATAGCCACCTATACCCACTACTAAAGTTTTGCTTTTCAATCTCCTTCTAGAGCAGGGGTCAGCAGACTTTTTTTCTAAAGGCAAGCCCAGATAGTATATATCTTAGGTTTTGCGGATGATAAGATACAGTCTCTGTTACAGCTTCTCAACTTTATCATAGTAACACAAAAGCAGCCATAGACAGTAGGTAATGAGAGTGTGACTGTGTTCTGATAAAACTTTCTTCACAAAAACAGGCAGGCATTAATTTGCCAACCCCTGTTCTAGAGCTCAAGTTCATTATGCAAGTGCTGTGCCTTCCAAGTTACTGTAGGTGACAGTGTCATGAAATGTCTTGCTACTCTGTAACCTGGATCACCTTTCCAACCTTTGATATTAGTTTCCCTGCTGCCTGCTGCTCAACTACTAAGCTATGATCCTGTGTTTATAATAGTAACACTGTACTCCTGTCATCAATTTCAGTGTTAGTCAGAATAGACTAGTATAACGGAAAACATTCTTAGGTGTCTCTTTTACTCTCACACTACTACCATAATGCTTCTCACACCAGATGTGAGGTAGTTTTTCCCACACCAAACAGTCCTCAGATTCTCTGGACACCAGCTTGGGTATCCTACAATTTTACTCAATTCCAGGTAGACACTATCTACCTGGAAATAGCCTCAGATCCTCCAGGTTAAGGGCTTAGTCCCACAAGACTGCCCCAACTTCAAATGCCAATCATAATCCCAGGCTATAATTTGGAGGTTCCCACAACCCCCTCCTCAGATTCAGTTAATTTGCTAGAGTGCCTAATAGAACTCAGGAAAACATTTTACTTTCTGGATTACTGGTTAATTACAAAGGATGTAACTCAGGAACAGCCAAATGGAGAGATGCATAAGGCAAAGTATGTGGGAAGGCGCACGGAGCTTCCGAGCCCTCTCTGGGTGCACCGCTCTCCCAGCACCTCCACGTGTTTACTGGAAGCTCTCTGTACCAGTCCTTTTGGGTTTTTAATGGAGGCTTCATTACATAGGCGTGATTGATTAAATCTTTGGCCATTGGAGATTGAACTCAGTCTCTAGCCCCTCTCCCCTCCCAGGTGGTCTGGGGGCCTGTGGGACTGAAAGTTTCAACACTCTAATTATTTTGTTGGTTCCCTGGCAACCAGCCTCATCCTTTGGAACTTTCCAAAAGTAACCTCATTAAGTCAACTCTGGTATAGTTGAAAGGTACTTCTTACGAATAACAAAAAGCACTCCTTTCACCTTTATTGCTCTTACCACTTAGGAAATTCAAGGGTTCTAGGAGCTCTGTGCCAGTAATTGGGACAATGACCAAATATGGTTTTCTTATTATAAATCACAATATCACAACTAGGTTATTAACAAATAAACACTTGAGTTTTCAGTGGCTTAACACAACCAAGGTTTATCTCCCACAGTATGTGTCCAGTACAGGTCCTAGTGGGGTGAGGACTCTGCCATACATAGATGCTCAAGCAGCTCAATATCTAGAATGTTACTAGTCACCAAAGCAGGGCAAGAGACAAAAGGATGTTATGCACTGGCCCTTCTATTCTTGATTCCCACTCACATCCCATTGACTAGAATTAATCACAGGCTGGAAAAATGTGGGAGAGAAGGTGGAATATTGTTAGTCCACTACTTCTGTCACACATTCATACAAGTTCAGTTATTCTTCACAGGTATAGATAGCAATGCAACTTAAACATCTGTAGAAAGGTACATCTTGATATGCAAGGATGAATTTCAGATGATATTCTTTTTTGACAGTTTCTTTTCCTTAACAAGATGTCTATTTTTTAAAAGTTGCATTTTGTTCTTAATCTTTCCAAAATAAAGTGTTTAAGGTTGAAATCTTATTTCTAGACTAGAATGCAGTAGTATGAAGAGCCATTAATCATTAACCAACACTATAGACATTGAAATAGTATCAAGGCTCATAATATTTATTTTTGAACACGCAGTGTTACTTTGCAGAGGTATTATATTTTGGAAATAGTGACAACGTATTTACAGGATAGCAATAATGAAAATTTTCATTTTCTGTTTCAATAAACCTGTTGATATCTATTTTTAATTTGATAAAACCTATAGATTACATATCGCCTAACCCATCCATGATTGCATATCAAAATATGCTGAAGACAGCATACATGCTTCTCTGGATATAGACATTACAAAAGTAATTATTTCAGGCCAGCTTTATTTTGTGTTGCATCAGTCACTGGTATTCAGTGTATGTGAATCATACTCCTGCTTTCTTTGGTCTAGGTTCATAATAGAATTCATGGGAGCTAACAAGTTCATGGGTTGAACTTGAAGCCATGAGTGTTTATGCTGCTGCCTTTTAATGATCATAGCACAGAATTCCTTGAGGTTGGGTTCAGGTGGGAAATTCTTCACAAAGACATTATTTGGTAGCATCAACAACAAGTAATTTTATGGATTAGTGGCACCAAGACAATGGTGTCCTACCTCAACTGGCAGTCAAAATTTTTATGAACAAATTTGTACGATTTCGGGTTGGAAATCAGTGATGGAAGGACTGACTTCGATCCTTTAGAGTTGAACGTCTGCCAGTTTGAAAGGTCAAGTGACATGTGCTTGGGTTGACATAGAATGGCCCATTGTTGGTATATAGTATCTATATAAAGCTTGTTTTGACCTTAAAATGGGATCTTTTAAAAGCTGGTAATTTAGTATACAAGTGCATATAAATGCTAACTTTATGATTCTCTCTTACTTTTACTGTAATAGTTCTTACATGAGCTTTGAGATGCCTTTCCAAATTGCTTTCACACCACTTGATTGAAAGTTTCTAGCTAATCATAATTTCTAGCAAATAAAGCATTACTAACTTCTAATAACTGTATATATTCATAAATTAAAAATGCCATCAAGCTAATTTCTCAGATTTGCCTATTATGATGAATCTGTGCAGTGATAACAGTGAGAAAAATGAACAGTAACCATGAATTGTTTTATAAGTGATCTCATAACTTGTGGACTGCAAAATATTTGTTTATATTATAGCAGCCATTTTTTTAATTTTTATTTTTGAAGGACTTAAAGCCCAGTAATATAGTAGTAAAATCAGACTGCACTTTGAAGATTCTTGACTTTGGACTGGCCAGGACTGCAGGAACTAGTTTTATGATGACACCTTACGTAGTGACTCGCTACTACAGAGCACCTGAGGTCATCCTAGGGATGGGCTACAAAGAAAACGGTCAGCAAACACTATTTACTTGAAATACTGTTCTGATTTATTTGCTTTTGTTTATCAGATTTCTTATGTAAATACTTAAATTGAAGTGCATAGAGTTAAATGTATCGCTGTATGAAATGATGTTTATCAAGAGTTTGAAAGTAACTACAAATTCTGTCATAAATATTTGGAAAAACTTGGGGCCCCTGTTTATTTAAATACAAATACATAATCATCAACACTAACCATTAGATAAAGAATTTGTTGCCATGGCCCCTGTAACAGAATATATACCATTTTCTTGCCTGTAACTTGAAAATGAGCATTCTAACATGGGCTCAAGAAATCTTAAGTTTGCATTAATGATATTTGCACACATTTCCAATCCCATGACATTAAAGTTAATAGCAGTAGCACTTAGTGCAGACTTTAAGGGCTGCAATAAAGCCATTCTGCATAGCTGATGGATAATTAATTTAAGGTTGCCTTTCAGAGAAAACAATGTTTCATCAACGACCTTGTGTCCAGCCTTAAAGAAATGGCATTATTATGTGCGAGTATAGTCAGTTATATGTATCAGCATTAGAATCAAGGTTGAAGAACATTATCAGGCATGTAGTTCGTGAATTTAAAAAAATTATGCATAAATATACATATATTTATACTTAAGAAATTTTGTTGAATCTCAGTCATTTAAGAGATGAATAAGTCTACACAGGATTTTATTGACTTAAACTATAACTTTTTAAATGTGGTAACTTAATCCAAAATACTTACTAGAATAGGACCTAGACATTTTTTCTAGCAAAGAATCTAAAACAACAGTTCACTTTGAATCAGGAAACTGTATCAAGTCAATTTTTGGGATTCTTTTTTATAAAAGATAACATTGAACTGAGGATTTTAGCTTAATTTTCTTTTCTGAGCTCATTAAAAACACTTTAAATATTTACTACTATTCTTTTGTTCTTAAATAAACATGCTGTTGTCTTACTCTTTATCTAAAATTGCCTTATACCCTGTAAAACCCAGTGAGTTAGATTTAGTATTAGACTTTTTTTTTTTTGAGAATTGCTGCTTTAAGTGACCGGCATGAAGATTGTTTTTGTATTTGCTGTAAAACCATTGATTGTCACAGATAATGTATAATGTGGCACTCTCTCTTATAATTGTGATCTTGGGAGCTCCCTACCAGAAATTAGCACCAAGAATAACTGTCATGTAAAGAATTGACATGCTTTCCTTTCTTAGGTAAGAATTATATAGATCTACCTTATTGCCTTTTTTTTTTTTTTTTTGGGCCCCAGGAAACTGAGTCAAATGTAATGCTTAATTATGATAACTACATTAGCCAGCAAGGTTAAACATAAGAACTTCTGCCTTTTATTAACACCTTTCACCCACCCCCACCTGTTTTAACAACTTTATTTTATACGTCTTTTATTGAAAGCCGGCTCAAAGCTTTTTGTAAAGTGTGAGATAATGGAATATATTTAAACTGCCAAATAGACTGAGCAGTTAGACACTGTAAAACTTGCTTTATGTATGAATCAGGCTTATCATATTCTGAGGAAAGTCTTCATTAACCCAGACAATATCTTCTCTCATGCTTGCAGCTTTTGAAATCTGTTTTAAGATGTTTTTCTTAAGATTATGTACATAAGTTGTGTCCTGAATATTTAACTAAAGCTTGCTATTCTCTATAAAGTCCACAGGGAAAAATTATTTTCATAGATTTTTGCCAAAATGAAAACCCTGGAAAAAATTTTTCTCTGAACTGATTTATGAATGTTAACTTTTCCTCTAAAATTTTATTCTTGAAAGTTGAACTATGCCATAAATATAAAAAGATTTGTATGTATTTTAATGTGAAATTTTAGAGAAACTTTAGTTCCACAGGATTTCTAAAATTTGTTCCTAATCTTGCTCCTAAAATTCTGTAATGAACTGGCAGTCTCCTTATGAGTGTATTAGAAAGTACTGACTTTAAGTTCCCAAGTCCTCCTGTATTGGTAAAGGATATATTTCTAACATCTATTCCTGCCCTTTTCTTCTTTTGCTATTAGAGAATTGGGGCCTTCAAACTTCAAAAACAAATGCAAGTTTCTAAAGCTTTCCTTTCAAATTGCTCGTTCTCCTCTTGTATTAAACTGCAAGCACCTACTCTTTTTGTCTGATTTTCAAACCCAAAGATATAAAATGTCAGGGTATGTGGTTAGTTTTAATGAAACAGGTGGAGGTCCTCAAATTGCCCATTTCTAGGTCTAGCAGATTCTTTTCAGTATTGACTAGAGCTCTCATTTAAAGTTGACAAGGGTCATGGGACTTCCCTGGTGGTCCAGTGGTTAAGACTCCGCATTTCCACCGCAGGGGGCACGGGTTTGATCCTGGTCGGGGAACTAAGATCCTGCATGCTGCGTGGCCAACAAAAAAAAAGAAAAAAATTAAAGTTGGCAAGGGTCAGTAAGTCTACTAGGAGACTCTGTAGATAATAAATCTGTGGGAAATTTCATACTGTATTCAGCCAAAACCAACTTCTTAAACCAAAAGCATTCTGGTTCTATGGGTTTAAAACACTTTAGGTGGAAAACATGAAATATACTTCTTTTACTAGGTTTTTTTAATTGATTATTTGTTAGTTCTCTATGCACTTGTTCCTTTTGGAATAGTAGAGTAAATGCAGCATGGTGTTGCCAAGGAGAAAAATGACCTTCAATTCAGAGTAAACATAGCACCTCTCAAAACGAATTTATTAACTCCAACTTGAAAATTTCTGAAGAGCTTTAGATTAACTTTTTAACTGTAATTATTCATAGAAACATTGTTTCTGTTAAGTATTTTAATATACTAGATTATTTCTGCTCATGCTTTTTTCTTTTATTTGACTTAAAGAGAGAGTATAATGCACAGTTGAACCTCAAAATAGTACAAAGATTTTATTTTTTAAATTTTGCTACCTCATGTACATTTTCAGCCTTACTTATAAGATTTGTGTTTGGTTCTTTTTCATATTTTATAAATAAATTTTCAGGGGCAAAATGTGTAGGTTTTTTAAATTATGTGATTTCTGTGCATAGCTCTCACTTTAAATTAGATACGTAGTTAAAACGCCACACGTCACATTTGCTTTTGTGAATCAGAGCCTTTTGACAAATATTTTGTGTTTTAAATTATTCCATTAGCTAAAATTAAAATCACTTTTTTCTTTTGGTGATGTTTTGCAGTTTTTATATAATGCAGTCATATTATGCTTCTTTGATTTTAACGACCTTTTGCTTTGCTTTTCCTTCTTTTGTGCTGCAAACATATAGTGGATTTATGGTCTGTGGGGTGCATTATGGGAGAAATGGTTTGCCACAAAATCCTCTTTCCAGGAAGGGACTGTATCCTTGTGCTGCTGCAGCAGTTTAATTAGTTAGGTGATGAACTTCCTTATGTTCTCTAATGAAAATGAATATAGTGTACATTCATACATGTGGGTTTTTTTAAACAGACGTAAAGTTTGTGGCTGTTATAGTTCAAAAATTGTTGAGATACGAAGCTGAAATGTTTGTAGGCTGCATCTGGCAGTAGGAAATACAGTCTCTGCTGGTAGTTAGAGCACATTCACTGTCATTCATTTTTATTTTATACTGCTTTCTATAATTTTGAAGTATACATGGTGTGTGTGATTTTTTTTAATGTTTATATATATTTTTTTATTTTAACCAAAATCTTTATGTTAATGTCATTGCATTTTGTTTTCAGTTGACATTTGGTCAGTTGGGTGCATCATGGGAGAAATGATCAAAGGTGGTGTTTTGTTCCCAGGTACTGATCGTATCCTTATCTTTGGCCTAAAATGTAGTTTCTAAAGGTCAAAATGTATGACAGCACTTCAGCTTGGTCAAGTATAATGTATTTTGTCTCTCCCTAATAAGAAAGTATTGTTAAATTACTCTTTCAAAATACCACCTGCTATTTGACTTAGACTTTCCTTTCCCTAATTTATTTGTTGTTTCATATGTTAATTCTGAAAACTGCTCAGGTTAATTATCCACAATTATTTGCTGGCTTTGAGTTGATTTATTTAACCTAAATCAAAAGTCATGGCTTGTATTAAATTTTCTAATAATTATACACTTGAGTAAGTCTAGAAGTACTTAGGACATAATATGAATTTTGGAATTGTCTGTTGCTTCTGGTCATCCTTTTGTTTTGTCCTCCCCACTTCCTTTTTTGTTAATGTGCTGTGTGTTCTATGTCTTTTGGTTATTGTCTCATTACTCAACATAACATACTGATCTTTTCATCTGAGAATTTCAGCAGTAATAATTTTACATGGTGATGAGTAGATTTGGGTCATGATTTTTGTTCATCTGAATGACTACTAATCTTTATAATAACAGTGATCTGTTATGTGTCTATCAGCTAGTGAAACTTAGAATTGTTTTAGGAAGAGGAATGGGAAAAACCATATTCACTGGGTTACAATAAGAAAGTTTTAGGTCTTAGTCCACGGGGAGGAGTTGGAGGTGTAAACGCTAAAGATTGGAAGGAAAGAGACCAGAGAATTCTAACCTTACACCTTAACCAAAATACTGAGTCATTTTCTTAAATTTCAGAGCTTTAAAAAAATTTTACTAACATAAGCTGAACAAAGAATGGCAAAAGGAAATGCCATCATTTTCATTGCTACTGGTTTTCTGTTAGTGTAGAAAACTCAAAAAATGCAGGACATGTAATAAATATTTCCTATCTTCTCGGAAATGCATTCACATTTTCTGATAAGCTGGAAGGAAAGGCAAATTTTGTATTCTAAAATTACGTACAGTTTACATTTAGAGTCCTTATGGGTAGTAATTGTCATTTTTCTTTGAGCCACTTATCATTTGTATTAAGAATTTGTGTATTTAGAATATAAGAATTTAAGCTTCCATTTTTATGATAAAATTAGTATTAGTAGACACACACATGCACATAATAAATAAGGTTAACAAAGCTTGTTTACTGATCCTTTTTGTCCACCTACAATCATTGCCTTTTGCAAGGTGGCTGTAAGATTTATAACTGCCACATTCTTTCTTAGGATTTTTTAATTGCCATTTTCTTATTTTAATATGGATATGACTAATATGTTGAACATTAGATACACAGTATTTTTTCTTAGCTACTTGATATTAGATATTGATCAGTGGAATAAAGTTATTGAACAGCTTGGAACACCATGTCCTGAATTCATGAAGAAACTACAACCAACAGTAAGGACTTATGTTGAAAACAGACCTAAATATGCTGGATATAGCTTTGAGAAACTCTTCCCTGATGTACTTTTCCCAGCTGACTCGGAACACAATAAACTTAAAGGTACTTTTTATAAACATATATCTTTAATTCCATTGTGGGTAGGTGGGTGGTTGTGGAGGGGGTTTATGAGGGTATATTCATATTCTCATGGGACATAACATTGTCTCTGGGTAATGGAACAGTGTGAGGTTTTAGTTCTTTTTAGTTATTTTTTTGTGATTTTATGTTTTTTAATCATATGTATGACCTAATTTTATAGTAAATCTATTCTGTTTAAAACATTTTTTAATAAATGATAATTTCAAGTTTCTGAAATTTATTGATAATTTTAAAACTTTTATGAGATACGTGTACATTAACGTCTCATTATTTTTGCAGCCAGTCAGGCAAGGGATTTGTTATCTAAAATGCTGGTAATTGATGCATCTAAAAGGATTTCTGTAGATGAAGCTCTCCAGCACCCGTATATCAACGTCTGGTATGATCCTTCTGAAGCAGAAGCTGTAAGTTCTTTTCTTTAATGTTTGAAGACTATATTGTACCCTTAGAGTTAGAATTAAAGTTAGGTTTGGAGGATATTTTAAAATTTTAAATAAAAATATAAATAAATGATGATGGCGTTTTTCTGTTTTTGCATGAAAAGTTTCTTAAGAGAATGAACATATCCAAGTACCTCCTACACAAAATAAAGTTCCCCCCCACTGTTTCTTGCCTTTTTGCCGTGATACTTGTATGCTGAGCTAGAATGTTGAGCACTTTGGGAAAACATCTTAACTTAGTTGTAAACAAATTATTATATCCAAATCATAGCACAATTCTATGATATAAATAAAATGTGACCATTTCAAAAACAGGAAGAAAAGAAAAAGACGGTTAAACATCTTTTTTCCTGTCACTGTTCTCTCTATGCAAGATCAGTGTTGATCATTGATCAATCTTGGCCTAATGATGTATTTTTCCAAGTCTGGCTAACATTTCAAATAATTGTAAACAATTTATATACTCCCAATAAACTGACTCAATTATTGTTGCCTTGTTTTTCAGCCACCACCAAAGATACCTGACAAGCAGTTAGATGAAAGGGAACACACAATAGAAGAGTGGAAAGGTAACATTCACCAGATTCTTTAAGATGAAGCTGAAAGAGCTCTGGCTTTCTATGTTGATTTATTCATCGTTTTAGGGAAATGAAAGATATTTTCTATTATTCGTAACTGATATTTAATAATATGATTTAATATTTTTACAAAAGTAGAGAGTATGTCTCCTTCCCTCACTGACTTAATCCCAGTGTCTTTGTTCCCCACCCCAGACAAAGACACATTTGTGCTTTCTGGAACTTTTATGTTCTTCCATAGTCTACAAAAATACAAACTTGTGTGTTTGATGTCTCCCCCTTCTCCTCTCCCACCCTGTTTTAATCACATATGGTTGTATACAGTGCACACTTGCTTTGTTGATATAATCGTATATTTTAGAGATTATTCTCTCTTGCTCCATATACCTGGCTCATTTGGTTTAATAGCCGGTTAGTGATCTGCTGTTCGCCTGTGTCACAGGGTTCTGTATCTAACAACCATTTGAAGAGCATTTAACTTGTGTCTGGTCTGTTGTTACAAACAACTCTGCAGTGTTCTTGTGCACATCTGAGAACATGCCTGTAAGAAAAATCCTACAAGGAGATTCACTGGGCCAAAGGACATTTTTCAGTTATTTCCGATTACTCTCCAGAGAAATTGTAGCAGTTTACACTTCCATCAGCATTTTATGGGAATGTCTCTTTTACCCCCACCCTCACCAACAGAGTTAGTTAATTTTTAATCTTTGCATATCTAATAGTTTTATTTTATTTTTTTACTTTGGTTGAACATTAATAATGCTTTGAAAGTCATGACAATGTTAAAATATTTCTTTCTTTAAAAGATTCCCTTGGACAGTTCAGCCAGGTAATTTTTAGATCCTGCTTGCCTCCATTTATATTGTTGTCATTTTATATTTTGACCACTTTTGTAACTACATGACTTTGGACAAGTCACTTAAAATCAGGTAGACAGAAGACATGTTATTAAGAGCTAAGAACCTAAATACTTGGAAGGCACAATATAAACCGGAGCATGTAATCCATCTACAGATTTATTTGGGAGGAATGAATTTGATTCTTTCTTCTTAGGAATAACCAGAGATTAGTTTTCGCTAAGTTGACTTTGGGAGACATACAGTTAGACTCTGTAGAGCCCACCAGAATGATAGAATTGGGTAGAACCTAGTGCATCTATATATGTAATATACAGGAGTATAGAAACTATAGATCAGAGTATGTATTAAAGTATCTAACCTGATATTTTTATATATCATTACATTTACAGTAAACATTTATGGTATTTCATGGAATCTTAATAGGCCACCAATTGTAAAACACACTAGTATGTACCACTAAGAAAGAAGAAACAATGCCAGTTGTACTGCACGACTGATTATAGATGCAACCCAGTTTCAAAGATATTAAACTGTGGAAAAAGTACATCTTAAAATCAGTGAAACATTGTATTTTCATTTGTATATGGTTATATCTGGGATTTTTGATTACTGTAAGCATGTTTATCTTTATTCTGTATCTTTTTCTCCTAGCCCCAAATGCCGTTTAGTAATTACCTACAAACTCCCTTTTTCAAGATCTGCTTAAGAATTTTAGCATCATAACAGAAAAATTCATTGCCAAAGCCATTAACTACAGATTGCTTTGTCTAGTTAGTACTCCTGATTAGCTTTGGTTCTTCTGCCTCAGTCCCATTTTACAAAGGAGTATTTTCTCTCTCTTTTTAATCCTCCTATCCGGAATGCTTATCATTCCTTTTTGTTTCTTTAAAGAAAAGCATCTCCCATTCTTTCCTCTATCAAGACTTGCTATTTTTCTTCTTCCCAGCCCAAGTAGGTTACCATCGCAAGCAAACTTAGGCGTCTCCAGCTCTTGTTCATCCCAACATATCCACTTGTTTTACCTTATTATCAACATAAATGTTGCCATACCCTGTGATCAGAAATCATTTATTGAAAGTTTAATGTAAAGAATTACAGACTCCTTGAAATTCTGTGCAACAATTTTTGTTTATACATTTTTCTCAGAAGAGGGTTCATTGCTTTTATACAATTCTCAAAGGATTTTATGACCCAGAGATGATGATGAATAATGGCAATGTTAGCATCCACCAGAAGGTTCTTCTTAAGTCAGCATTCAGACTCATAAGGCACATCACACTTGACATCAGGATCATGTAGAAGAATACAGGGCAGGAGGCACGTACACTGCAGGGCAGGATCTGGTGTTACTCTTCAGTTGGAGTAGTCCTCCCAGCAGTCCACCCACTATCCAGAAGCCTAGTTAAAGACCAAGATTCTCATGAAGAAATTCTTGACAGTCATAGCATGCCATGCTTCAACTCAGAAGGAGTTAAAGTATAGTTACCTGATTCTTTTCCTTTAATAAAAATATATTTATATTCTATTCTGATTAAAGAAGGTTCCACATACTCTTGCATTTAAATCTTTTAACAGATATCTGGGTAAGTACCTACAGTGTACCAGGTACAATGCCAGGGCTCAGGAAATAGAAGTTAAAGACAAATTTGATTCAAGCCCTTACTGAGAGAATTAAATTAGCATTTGCTGTACAGAATGATATGGTATAGTACAAAGTGTTGGTGGAGTAAAAAAGGTAAAGCTTCTAACCCCAGCTCTATCTTAATCCAACTTCTGGAATATTACAGCAGAGACTTTGCTTCTTTCAATATAATTCATGGTTGAGGATCAAGAAATTGTTATTAACACCTTTGAATCTTAGGCTGACACTTCTGGACCCTCTGCCATTGCAAGAACACCATTCGAAGTACTTAGTGTGTGCAAAAATTTTTTACTTAAAACATACATATCTTGGGAGATTGCCTCTCAGACTTTGAAAAGTTTTTGTTCACCTCTTTTTCAGAATTGATATACAAAGAAGTTATGGACTTGGAGGAGAGAACCAAGAATGGAGTTATACGGGGGCAACCCTCTCCTTTAGGTTGGTTACAATATAAGCTTAGTTAAGATTACAGTTTACTTCTTGTGTTGTAGTCTTCAGTGGCCTGAAACCTTCAGTTCTTTCCATATTTAGTACCATTAGTATTCAAAGTTTATTAACTATAAGGAATACAATTTCTGTGGTAAATTTGAAAGCATTGGTACACTGTTCTATCAGTACATTGTACTAGTATATCAGTAACTGACTTCATAAAATGCATATCTTTTTCTTTGATACTGACATCCCATTGAAGAACAGAAATTTAAAATGTTTTTTGGTGGTGGTTGGCATTGTTGTCTTTAAAGAAGAAATTTATCACAATTCAATATATTTACCTTTCTGTGATTTAACAGTCCTTACTTTGGATAAATAAACTAAAACTTCATGGCAAAATTCTGTACGGGATGCCAATTTTGTACATGATACCTCTTTCTCATTTTGGTATTTTTGATTTGTTTAAGGCAGTAGCATTAAAACTGCTGTCAGAAGGTATTCTAGCTCTTAAGAACATTGGTTTGCAGGAGTTAAACATTTTCTTTTATCATAAGCTCATCTTATATTAAATTTTAGTACTTGTTAAAGCATAAAGAATTTAAAGGAAAAGTTAAATGACAGGTAACATGTACATATTAAGTACATACTACATGACAGACACTGATAGTTTTTGTACTTTGTTTCATTCAGCCCCCCAGAACCCTGAGGAAGGGGTTGTTGTGCACATTTTACAGATGAGGAAACAAGTTTAGAAAAATTAAATGATATAAGACTACAAATCTTTTGTGTAGAAAAGCAATACTTGAAGCCATGTTTATCAGTAACTTCAGAGGGCATGGTTTTTCCAGCATCCCATATGGCTGGCAACAGAGAATAGGGCAGTTTTAGGGAAGAGATTAAATTTGAGCTGAGCCTTGAAGGCTGAGTAAGGTTTCAACAGGTAGGTCTTGAATTTGCGTGAAACTATGCCATTTTAATCCTTCTAAAATTCTTATACATTCTAAGAAAAAAACGGATATCATATTTAGCATCAATGAAGTAAGATATATAGGTATAGTTTCAGGTGCCCATTTTGTTGTACTATAAACATATATTTGTTTAAATAATTTTTGTAGCTTCCTATGACATTTTTGGTTATATTTTGAGTTCTTTTAATTCTTTGTTTTTTAAACCTTGATCAAGAATGCAGTCGTCCAAATTTTAATATAGATCCTCTTGAAAACATAAATTGGTTTCAACAGCTTTTTACCTACAATTAGCTGTAACAAAAGCTATCTTATAAATGCTTTAATAACTCAGTTAATTAGCTTTGTATTGATATACAGTAGTCATATAAGTGAATTGTTCATGATGGAGGCTTGAATGGAATTTGAAAAGTCCATTTTTAGGGAAGTTTTATACTTTAGCATACTGTCCTAGTGATGGCACATCCTAAGTGTCAAATGTTTGAGTAAACTTAATAATCTCATGAGATAGATAGAGCAGTTGTGTTTGTTCTTAATTTATAAGTGAAAAATTTGAATCCTAGACAACACTTAACTATGGTTACAAAATAAGTCAGTGGAAAGGACAGGACTGCAAGTTTCTAGACATTTTCTGGATTCTCAGTTATAGCTGGCAAAGAAGAGTGTTAGTAAATTAATCTGTTATAAAAATATTCAGTTCTTGATTATATGCAAAAACAGAAGATAAGTATTTGATGACTCAGAATATCAGATAATCACAATACCATTTCGACTTGATTTTAAAAAGTAAATATTTTTCCCTCTGGATTGCCTCTTATCTTTATTTTGGGTTGGCTAATACTAAAATGAGTTTGCATACCTTTGAGTGTGTAGAGTCACTGAGAGGGAAATGACCCAGATATCTGAAATTAAAGATTTTTCCATATTATTGCTGTCCGGATATTGAGAATTTACTATTGGCTTGGCCCAAAAGTTCGTTTGGGTTTTTCTGTAACTTACGGGAAAACCCGAATGAACTTTTTGGCCAACCCAACATATTACTTTAAAGGTCAGAAGTAAACAAGTTTTTTTTCCTTAGGTATTTGATTTTCAGGTTAAAAAGTTAACTGTTTAATTATGATGCATTTAAAACATAACATTGTAAAGCAATTATACTCCAATAAAGATGTTTAAATAAAAATTCAAGAGAAAAAAAATGATTTTTATTAGATTAAAAAATTTGGATGAAATAAAATTTGGATAAAGAAGTAGAGGCATGAAAAAGTATATAGAACCCTTTTATGATTTGAATGTTTCAGTACAGGTCTTTGAAGCTAGCCATAATGTTGTATACTCTTTAGTCAGAAAAGGTGCATTCTGTAGTGTACCAATTGAACTTTTAAAAGTTTAGTATCTTCATTTCACTCTGGCTGGGAGCCTAATGGGTTCTTGGGTCTAGAAGGTTATCACATTTCTCCTTTTCCTCTCTATTAGGCCTGAAGTACCCAGTCTGCTTTTCTTTCCCAGTGTACCTCCCATCACCTGCTCTATCCCTTGTGGTTCCATTCCTTTCTGTTTCCCAGTCCCTGCCCCACTGCCCTAAAGATTTGCCTATTACTATTCCCTAGCTATTTCATTGTTAGATTTGAAGACAAGCTCTCAGAGGACCTTTCATATTTAAGTGTTTTTATTGCATGCCATTGGACACAAAGGAGGGATAATTTCAAACAATGAGGTGCTGCGTTCTGGAACAGTGGTTTTCAACCTGCTTAGTTTTAACATCATTGGGTCCCTGAAACTCACGCCTATTCTTATTGCTCAGTCTGAAAACCATTGGTTTTTATTCCATGAATGTGTTCTTAGGAATTTTTGTATAACTTGTGTTATTTAATATACTCAAATTTGAAAAGACTCTTATTTAGTGCTCATGTAGTTCAAAAGCACTTACCTAGTGCATGAATCACCTTTAACTTTTCCCAACCCCACGGTGTCATTCCCTTCCCTTCCTGACCCAACCCCCTTGAGAGGATTTTTCTATAGGTTAAGTATTCCTGTTGCTTTTTAAAATCCAGGAAATGCTTGTTAGGCTATACTTTTGGTAAAGGAAACAGTCTCCCCCTACTTTCGTGTTTAATAAGTCTGTATTTGCATTTACCAAGTACTTATTAGAACTGAAATAACAAGACTTGAGTTTACCTAACTGGGGCACTTGCGTGGCTCGGCAAGTCACGTAACCAAATGGGGCGGTTGAACTGAGGATCCATTGAATTAAAATGATTTTAATCTTCGTCTTGGCTTTTGCTTAAAAACAAGATGCACCAGAAGGATTGTTTGGACTTTACAGTGAGAAGATATCATAGAGCATTTTTTTTTAGGGCAGTAGTTTTTTTTAAAATTTATTTTATTGAAGTATAGTTGATTTACAACATTACATTAGTTTCTGGTGTACAGCAAAGTGATTCAGTTATACATATATACAATAGTTCGCATCTGCTAATCCCAAACTCCCAATCCATCCCTCCCCCACCACCCCCTCCTGCTTGGCAACCATAAGTCTGTTCTCTATGTAAGTCTGTTTCTGTTTCACAGATAAGTTCATTTGTGTCATATTTTAGATTCCACATATAAGTGATATCATATGTTATTTGTCTTTCTCTTTCTGACTTACTTCACTTAGTATGGTAATCTCTAGGTCCATCCGTGTTGCTGCAAATGGCATTATTTTGTTATTTTTTTATGGCTGAGTAGTATTCCATTGTATATATGTACCACATCTTCATTATCCATTCATCTGTCATTGGACATATAGGTTGCTTCCATGTTTTGGCTGTTTAAATAGCGCTTCAGTGAACATTGGGGTATATGTATCTTTTCAAAGTATAGTTTTTGTCTGGATATATGCCCAGGAGTGGGATTGCTGGATCATATGGCAATTCTCTTTTTAGTTTTTTGAGGAACCTCCATACTGTTTTCCACAGTGGCTGCACCAATTTACATTTATTAGGGCAGTAGTTTTTAACTCTTTGAGTCATACATTCCTTTGAGATCCTCTCTCCAACAAAATGCAATGCAGACAGTTTTGCATGTATTATTAAGTGTTATTCACACACAGTCTGAAGCCAATTCATGAGTCTTGCCGTAGGACCATTTCTAACTATAGCTTGGACTTAATAATTCTTGTCCTGAACTGAAAATGAAAAACAAATTAGTAGAAAGGACAGGTTACCAGACGTTTTCAAAATTCTTACCTCGTAGCTAGCAGTGAAAAGTGCTTGTTAGTGTTGTGTTGAATATCACTTGTGATCATTTTTAGTGAGCCTTTTAAAACCAAAAGAAAAATTATTGACCACTAGAGGTGGTCAGTACAGTACAAGTAGCTCGGTCTGCAACTCTGTCTGCAACTGATTTGCTGTTTTGTTTCTCATAGCACAGGTGCAGCAGTGATCAATGGCTCTCAGCATCCATCGTCATCATCGTCTGTCAATGATGTGTCTTCAATGTCAACAGATCCGACTTTGGCCTCGGATACAGACAGCAGTCTAGAAGCATCAGCTGGACCTCTGGGCTGCTGTAGATGACTACTTGGGCCTTGTGGGGGTGGGAGGGATGGGGAGTTGTTTAGTCATTGATAGAACTACTTTGAAAACAATTCAGTGGTCTTATTTTTGAGTGATTTTTCAAAAACATAGAATTCATTTTGTAGTAAAGTAGTTTTTTTCTTAATTTCAAGTGATGTAATTTAAAACTTAAGTTGTGTTTTAAAACAGCAACAAAACTGTATTTTTGCTGTAATTAACTGTATAATGTAAACCTAATTATTTTATCATGGTTTAAAATTTTTGCATATTTGCTTTATCTTATGCTGCTGATTTTTTTTTTTACTGAATTTGTAAGATTTTGTTTATCAAAGCAACTATTATGTGGTGACTTGCCTATATCATGAATTATTTAAGATTTTTATAGTTTTTTTTATTAGAATTTATTCAGATGTTTTGTTCATGATGCTATCCTTTAGGGTTATGTGCTTATCAATGAAATAACCCCAGAGGAGTGAGGGAAAATAACCTGTAGCCAGTTATATTCAGGAATAACTACTGTAAATGATGAACGTGTTAAAAAAAAACCTCCAATATTTGCTACTTGCCAATTCTAATTTAGTTACAACAATTGGTAGGTAATCCTACATGAATTTTGGCAAAAGCCCCATCATCTAAATGGTAGAATAACTCAGAGCATGTCTTTGAAGATGTTGGGCATCTACCACCACCCTCCTATCCCCCATCCTACCCACCAAAAGTAAGAGAATATGGTGTTTTCTGCAAATTTGTGGCATGCTCAAAGCTTATAATCACGTAAAGTCAAGAGGATGCTTCATGAATAATACATTTCAATGGAAATAAACAGATGGTTCACCTTTACTAGCTGTGAGCCTGTTTTTATATACACTGAGTTAATCTACTCAGGCTGTAGGTCCCAGCAATGATTTAGAGTCTGGTCTTTCTCTTTCCTGCAGCCTCGGGCCCTTGGACCTATTTGGTTTCTAGAGTGTCAGTCAGTTGAGCACCAGTTCTCAGGGTGTTTCTGGCCATTTGATTCTACCTGTGGCATAATCATATTTATACTAGCTGTTGGGAGGTTCCAAAGCCTACTTAGATTTCTGTAGGTGATGTATAAAATGAGCAATATACCGTTCATCTGAAAATAGTAGCACACAGCCATATATAGGATATCATTTTCTAAGGACTGTTTCTTCACATTGAGTAGAGCAGGCATAATTGGTGGTTATTTAGTCTGAGTCTTTAATTTTTTTATACCTGATTTTCAATAAAACACACAATGTGGATGTTGAACAGTGTAAGAATGGTGCTGCTCCTGACAGTTGTATGTTAACTGTTTACATTTTATATCTGCAGAATTATTTCTCTATAACTGAATTTTTCTTAAGTAAAATGTCATTGAAGTCTCATTATATCTGAAATAGGTTGTCTGTAATGCCCCAGGCACTTTTTGTTATTTTTGGAACAAGAGGCATTTCATGTAATGAACTGGGAAATGCATACTTAAGTAAGCTAAAGGTTCTAGGCAGAAAGCCCAATGGAATTAATGACCAGCAGGAGCAAGAACTGGTGCGGCTCAACGTGCAACGTCTGAAAGTCCACTTGGCATGTTATTCATATATTCAGTGCAAAATTCGTTTTGAGTAAGGTATTTTAGGTCATTGTTAATGTGCAATATTTAGGATTAAAATACATTAATAGCCATTTTATATGCTTTGAAATAGTAAGTTTGTCTTTGATGGTTTAAAGTGATGATTTCTAGCCTCTTTTGAAGTTGGCAGCCTTTTTATTAATCCCTTTTCTACTGATATGACAGGGTGCATTAATTAGGCAAATTAAAGTTTTAAGACTATAACACCTTTTGAATTGTAGAAACAGGATTGGATTTACAATTTCAGAAGAAATTTGAGCATGAGTGTGTTCCTAGTTTTTATTAGTCCGACAGTTAACTAGCTTTATTTCTATAGGATAGATTATTTCACTATTGCACTTTAACAACTGACATGCTCTCAGAAGATTCCCTTATTTTCTGTTTCCTCGCTGATAAGCCATCTCTTGATACAGATTTTGGTTAAGCAAGGAAAACCAAGTGTTGTTACAGTATTGTTTGTTGTAAATGCCAGCTCCCACTTGCCAACCAGCATGTTTCAGTTGATCAGAGAAAATCAACTCTTATTAGTCATGTAGACTAAAATACTTGTTATATCCTGAAAACAAAGTCTAAGTGTTGCTTGTCCTGGGTTTTTAAAAATGCAATAGCTAAATACAACCTTCCCTCTTCTCTTAACTGTATTAAATTAAAAATGTGCTAGTTCTTTGTATTTTACTTTTGAACCTTTAAAAACATCTTAAACATTTTTTTAAAGAAATTACAAATAAGTTTTCTGTCAAGCAGTACTTACGTAAAGCCACTTTGCTTATCTTATAACTTTGTTTTTTCAACTTTATATACTTAATATACCCATGGTCTTACTGTCAGAAAATTACTTTGACCAAGATATATTGTTTAACTTCATAAGTTAGGAAAGAGACAATAATTCTTTCTACATATTTCTTCCTGGTTACTGTTCTGTTACCCTCTAATATAAACTATTTGTTAAATGATTGTGTTGTTGGGATTGCTTAATTATAATAGACATAGACAAAGCATCTCAACTCTTCATACTGTTTGCTGAACAGTTCTCATTTTGTTACACACCCTCGGCTGCTGATTGTTCCTGGTATGCACTCTTCCAAGTTGGTAAAGGTACAGTGCATTCACACCAGACTTCCTAAGAGAAATGCCAGCCTCTTAAGTGAAAAGGCTACCATACAAACCCCTTAACGATATCAAGAAGCTTGATTATATGTGAAGCAGCAGACTTTCTCATAAGCCCTTTCATTATTTTGTTCCATGCTAATCCTGCTGTGTTGTCTAAAAAGGTAAAGGTGAAGAGGACATGGATGATCTGATAGTGAAATCAGCAGCAGGCAAGTGAAGCCGTTTGGGGTTACAGATAAGACTTGGTATACAGTATCGGCCAGTATGTGCTACACTATGAAGATGTAACTACTCATTGTTGCCTAGGCACAAGCCTGTACAACATTTTGAGGTAAAAACATAGTCTATTTTCAAAAATACTGTTGTAGTTTGTTTGTGAGTGTTGTTCATTAGTCGCACATTAGCTGTAGAGTGAATGCATGATGCCCCATGACCCCAGTAAACTCTTACCAGTAGAAAAACCAAACACTACTGTTCTGTCATTAGCAGACCTCTTAAATGTTGCCTCCGGATCCTTTACATTTTAGTGTACATTGTGTTTCTACTGATCTCTCTTAGGTTTTTCCCGAATCAGAGGAAACTAATTTTTCCTTAATAGCAAGCAAGATGAAGATGTATAAGGGCATTGAAGCAGAAATGTGTAGTTTGGGGTACGATTAGAAAACTGGTAAGGAAAACAAAAGTCCTAATTAATTTCAAACTAACTGCTCTTAGTTAAGTGCTCTTAAGGAGAGTCTAGTAAGAGTAACACATTCTGGCCATTTCTAATTTAGATTCTCTTTGTTAACTGAAACTTCTGAGAAATACTACCTGTGGATTAGTTTTGCACAATGTTTTTTTCTCACAATAACTTACAAATTAAACTAGGTTTTTATTGAACTACCTCACACTAATTTTCTATGCTTTCCCAAGTAAGCGGTTGCCCTTACTGTTAGATCTTCGCTGAGTGAATTATAAATGTGTGTTAAATACTTCATAGCCAGTGTCGACACAACACCAGTAAGTATGTAAAATATATACCTTGCATCGGTAAGAGAGACTCACCTGTAAAATCTTTCACTGTGTATCTTGGAGTATGGTGTTAGATGTGCTCGTTGGACATAATTACTGTCTGTTTTTGTAAGTAGAAACCTGCTCGTGATATCAGTCCATTCTTTACATTTTACAAAAGGAATAAATCTTAGTAAATTTTACGAAGAAATAAATTACTTTTGTAGGCCCGATATTTGGTATATTTTTGAGAAGCTCTTAATCTTTTAGCTGAATGATGAAGTTAAACTGAACTAGCTGTCTACCTGGACTGTGACATCTATTTTCTCACTATAGTTTATCCTGTTCAACAGGTTTTGAAACCTGAAACCCAAGTATCATAATTGACATTTGCTTTTCTCCCTATATGATGCCATTCCTTCTTCATTTCCTCTCTCTTCCCTGTGTTCCATTCCCTCTCCTCTCCCCTCCTCTAGACAAAACAAATGGGGCACTTTGTAGGGAATGCTGAGATAATTATTGTGGTTTTCAATCATTCATGCCCTAGTCATTAAACATGCACCACTGGAATGTAAACAATGTTATCTAGTATGTTAATTGGTTATAATATTTTAAATAAAAAAGAAAAAAGTGATATGAAAATTATGAAATTAAGAGTTTTTCATTGAAAACAAAATATAAATTTTTGATAAAAAGTTTTTCTGGGCAATTTTAAGATTTCCTATGGATTGAGATCAAAGGGGTGCTAGGGCAGGTCTCTTAGATTTGGATTTTATACAAACTGTGAAGAGGCTAAACTATCACCCTGGTTTTCTCGTTTACCTACTCTTGCTTTTCTGGTGTTTGAACTTGCTAGAGAAACATTATTTTAAAAAGGGAATTTGCTTCAATGCCCTTAACCTATAGTTCTTTGTAACCATGTGAGAGAGCAGCCACTATGGCCACTTGACAAGAATAAGTATTTTAAAAGGATCTGTTGCAAAACAAACCAGGGATTTCAGCTCTGAGCGCATTTCCAGCTTTGCCATGCAGGTGTTCTCTTTGCCTACACTGGGCAGGCTGCTATGTGGGTGTCAGGGTCTGTCGCTGCATGTGCCCAGTCTCCATGTGGTGACACTCCTCCATCTTGCTCCACACTTGCTCCAGATAACGCTCATATCCATGAGGGTCCCACCCCCCTCGCCTGCATTCATGCTTCCCTGCTCTGAGGAAAGGATAGCCTGGGCCAAGCTTCTGCCTGACCACTGCTGCTCCATCAGCTGATGTGATTGCCAGCCTGGTGCTCTCTGCCTCATCACAGTCAAGGAAGAGGCCTCCAGTGATAGACTGGGTGGCAAGAGCAGACATCTGTGTGGAGTGTTGAGTTAATTTAATTTCCACCCAGCCATAATACCCTAGTGACACCAAATAAAATGGAGTAAGTAATGCATTCTTGTTAATTGAGGTACTACATTTATTTTACTGTTGCTCCTCAAAGGGTCCATTGACTTTATGCGAATGAAAATTGATTTGTACTGGTTTCGTGGTTTGAAATTTTTTTATTTAGCTTTTATAGCTAATACACCAATATGTCTTTGGACTTCATTTGAAACTAAAAGATACTTCAAATATGCTTTGTAAAGTTAGACTTCTAACATATTTCATTTACAACATCCTGTTGTCTCTTTTCCTGCTTTGGTAGTTAGTAATATATTTCATTTAATTCCATCAATTAATGTGTGCATATATGTCTAAGACCCTATGTTAGAAGCTGGAAGTGAGGAGTGATCTAAAAATGGATGACACTTAGAGTCTAGGCAGTCTGATTGAAGTAAGTGTTGTGTGAGGAACAAAGACCATGCTGAAGGGACACAGGGAAGGACTGATTAGAGGAAATGAGGGTTTCGCAGAGGAGGCATATTTTTTAAGGCATTTTTGGAGAGGAAGGGTATTCCCAGGTAAAGAGAAAGGCAAGGAGTGAGGAATGGTCTGGCGGGGTGTGAATGTAAAGAGAGAATGTGATGGGAGATAAGACTGAAAAGTTGAAGATCAGAATTGAAACGTTTTGAAGAAATTGTCATCATTTTAAAGGCAGTAGGAACTACTGGTTTGTGAGAAAGAGGAGTTAATATGATCACACCTTTGTTTTATGAGGGTCACTGACAGTGGGATCAGGTCTGGTTAGACAAGGCATGGAGATTGGTGACTGGGAAGCCAGATACTTTGTTCATATTGAGAATGGAAAATTGGGGACTCAGATTGCCATAACGTAAGTGAAGTTGCCAAGATTAGCATTTGGGGCCAGTTGGTCAGCACACAAGAGATTGTGCAGGGAAAATATATTCAGTGTATTTTACAGTTTGTACATCACAGTTCATGACAGAACACACTTCAGGTATGGCATCCGCTTGCCACTTAATATTTCAGGAGTGGAAGGAAAGGAAAGATTGCTCCCTAACTGCCTGTAGACCTCTCCAGTCTTGTAGTCCCTTTCCTCGTGAGGTCTGCGTCATCCCCTTGTGTGGTCTGTGCACCATTTTCACTAGTGTCCTTTTGTGGACAGAGGGAAAAGATAGGGGATTCCTGTTGGATGTAACATAAGTAAGACTGTTAGTGTTACCCGGACAGGTGGGGGCATAGTTGTGATTGCTGAGGATTGAGTGAGTAGTGAAGCAGTAGTAAAAACAGTACTTTCCAAAAGTTGGCAGGAAATACAAAGAATCATGACAATGTCTTGAGGGGTAGACTGAGGGGTCAGAACACGTTAAAAGGGAGAATTTAAAAGCACATGTGCCTCGATGAGACAAGGTCCTGGAGAGGGTGGGATCTACTGAATCCTGTGGATCCAGACTAGCCTGAGCTCCAGATGGAGAGAGTGGGTGATCTTGGACAAGTTTCAGCTTTGCTGAGCCTGGTGCTGCTGCATCTGTCACAGGATGGGAGATAGTCTGTCACAGGGCTGCTGAAATGATTTACTTCGTGTACTTTTATCAAAATAATTAGTGTAAAGCAAATATAATTGTTGACTTTAGCCTTGGAAAGGAATAGAAATGGTTTAAGATAATGGAGAAATGTTGCAGAGAAAGGGAGGAATTTTGTGTGGTCCCCCATCTGAGAACTTATATACATGCTGACCCCCAAGTCATCCTCGTCATCCCTAGTAGTCCCAATTTTCATGTGGTTGGTAAGAATAATTCTCACTTGAGAGACATGCCTCAAAATCAGTATTGAGGGTTGTTGCTGTTGTTTTTTCTGAGAAGTAGAATTAAACATTGTTTTGATTCTATTTCATATATCATTCCTGCCATTCAGCTCATTCCAGCTGAACCTCCTCCATGGCATATACTTTATTACATCTTTGTGCACATTACTCCCGCCATTTGCCCATTTGAAATCCTCATTGCTGAAGGCCCACGTTTGATAATTTCTCCTCTGATAAACTTTCTCTGCAAGGACTTTTTATTTCATGTCCCCATTGCATGTTTCCTTTAATTTATTCGTTCATGCACTCCCCATTTTGTTCCACAGAGAATACAAGACAACAACGTGCTGTATGTCTTTTCCTTTTGTTCTGTGAGGGCATCCTGTGTGCTAATCTACTGATGCTTCGCCTTGGAATCCCTTGGATGGAAAAGCCTGTCTTACTCCTAGATCACGATGACTGGGAAGTAGGCATTCAATCAATATTGGTCTGGGTAAGCTAATGACTAGGACTATCTTCTATACCGTTTCTATCCTCTGAAATCCAGTATTCACTGCCTTCAAAATCTGGCATAAGGAAACTGCATACAGCACTATGAAATTAGTGTAGTAATGTGAGCATGTGCTCTGACACCAGATACCTAAAGTAGAATCCTGGCTTCACACTAGTTGCCTCACCTACAGCAAGTTGCCTAAACTCTTTATGGCTCTGTTTTCTCAGAAGGGTTTAGAGGGAGAAGGTGATTCTGATATAGAAATAGAACTATGAGGGGGATGGTTTTTCTACAAGCTTCCCAAGATGATTCTGATATGGCCCGTCCATTTGTTACCAGCTGCCTTGGAGAACTAAATACCAAATCCTCCACCGGGAGCAGCGACAAATGGGAGACAGCGTGCAGCAAAGAATGAGGTAGGTCATGCTCCAGGGTGTTAAGAAGGGAACTGGGAAGGTACCAGGAGACTGCTGATGGAGCCCAGAAAGGGAGGAGGAAGTGGAGGAGGGACAGACCATGCTGCCAAAGTGGTTATCATGCCCCCACCCTCCCTAAAACCCTTCAAGGACTCAATACCTAGCAGTGATGCCCCAAGTTTGTTGCACTGAACACTAGTTCTGTATTGAATTAGTAGCAATATTCTTGGAGAGCTTACTCTATGCCAGGCACTTAAGTGCTTTGACTGTATGAGCTCACAGTTTTTACAACAACTTTATGAGGTAAGAACTGTTACTCTCCCCTCCTATTATATGAGCAAACTGAGGCACAGAGATGCTGAGTAACTTGCTCAGGGCTACACAGCCAACAATGCAGTGGGGCTAGGATTTGAATCTGGGTAGTCTGCCTCCGTTTTCACTCTAACCACTGTGCTCTACTGCCTGAGAAATCATATGTGAATAAAGCGTTTTGTGTTCAAATAAATTTGGGGCTGCTAACTAAACGTAAGCATGTTCATCATTTTTCAGGACTTCTCAAAGAGTTCGGTATGCATTTCCATAAACCTACCTCAACTGTGTCCCCGTCCTCCATCTTCCTATCTCCTCTCTCCGAAGCCAACCCCTCCACTTTCCTTATCTTTTTTCAGACTTGCCTCTCCTCATTATTGCCTTTTCTTCCTCACCAGTCTCTCCCTCTCTGCTGGATCATTCTTGGCAGCATACAAGCATGCTCTAGTAATCCCCTTCTTTAAAAGCTCTCCCTTGCCCCCTCCACTTTACCACCCTATTTCTCTGCTCCCATTCACATCGGCACTTCTGGAAAGACTGGTCTGGGCACAGTGTCTTCCCTTCACCTCTCATTCAGTCTTCAGTCCATTACTGTCTAGCTTCTGGCCTGTCAACACTACTACACTTGGCCTGGACCACACCAGTAGTTCCCTGACTAAATGCCCTGCTGCTACTCCCTCCTGCCCCCAAATTCATCCACTGTCCACCAGGGGCCAAAGGAGTCTTGTTGAATGCAAGCCAATTCATGTCTGTTTATTTAAAGCACTTGAATGCCTTCCTATATCCCTTCAAATAAAAATAACTCTACCATGGGAGACAGGGCCCTACGCAGTCTGGCCCCTGCCTGATTCTAGCCCTGTCCATCTCCCACCATGCCAACAAGGATGCTGGCACTCATGTAACTTTTATAGCTCTTCTCCTTCTGTCTGCGGCTGTCTGGTTGCATGACTGCCCCTTCCTGTCCTTCAGTCTCAGTTCTGTCACAAAGGGACAGTGTCTCATGTGAGACAGCTCCCAGCTAAGTAGATATGACAGTTACTCCACCACTGCTGCTGCCACATCTTGCTGTCCCTTTGTGATGGAACTATGTAGGATACTGGGAGAACTCTCCAGGGGGCTGGGGCCCTGCATCAAAAGGAGGGGGATATTGTTACTGACTCCATTTATTGCCCACAGATCACGGAGCCTGGTTATGTGGACTCCATTCTGAAGCCTGTTTACTGTGTGGAGTGAACACGGTTCATGCCTGGTCTGTTATTCCACCAGCCAGGTAAAACAAAGAATATCTCTCCCTCTGTTTTTCTGTCTCTGCCTCTCTTTCATACACACACATCCCTAAAACTGTATTCTAACTTCTTAAAAAAGGGACATTTGCCAGTCTTTTAAAATAAGCCAACTCCCTTTTTTACAGTATGAGACTTAAAATTTCCAGTTTTTCTTTAGAGTCAAACACAAATTTTAAAACACTTTTGAAGTAATTTGGGAGCAGAATCCTAGATTTTCAATTTTCCACTATTGCATGGTTGATTCATCCATAATTTGACAATTTTTAGTAAGTTGCCTTTACTGAGAGCATTCATGTAGGTTTTCAAAAAATTGATTCCTTGTCTTTTCACATTTATAATTCATTGGTTTACTTATTATTTTAAAATTTAAGGATTTATTGTTATTAACCCCTTAATTTCTAAACTCTGATTACAGAATTTAGTGACAGGCTTCAAGAGGTCTCTGAAAGCTGAATTTTTAGTATATGTGGTTATTTTTCTTCAGAGGGTCCATAGGCTTCATCAGATTCTCAAATGTATTTTTTTTAATTGAAATACAATGTTACTTTAATTACTGCTGTACAGCAAAGTCAGTTGTGTGTATATATATATACACACACACACACATACACATTCTTTTTTTATATTCTTTCCCATTATGGTTTATCATAGGATATTGAATATAGTTCCCTGTGCTAGACAGTAGGACCTTGTTGTTTATCCATTCTGTATGTAATAGTTTGCATCTGCTAATCCCAAACTCCCACTCCATCCCTCCCCCAACCCCCTCCCCCTTAGCAACCACCACTCTGTTCTCTATGTCTGTGATTCTGTTTCTGTTTCATAGACAGGTTCATTTGTGTCATACTTTAGATTCCATATGTGATATCATACATTTGTCTTTCTCTTTCTGACTTACTTCACTTAGTATGATAATCTCTAGTTGCATCGGCTTACTAAATATTAAATGATGTCATTACAATAGGTACAACTTGAATCCACAGGTTTGGGGACAGGTTCTGTAAATGCAACTCAACTGGGGAGAATGAAGCAGATGAGTACAGGGTACTGGGCCAGAGCCCCCCAGTCTCAGTGCTCAGCGTGCTTTACAGGCAGAAGTCAGTACGTTTTACAGATAGAATGGAGGGTGCTGTTAAATGGAAATTGGAGGGCAGAACGTCAGCAGACGTTCATTGCCAACTAATTTTCAGAGAAAAATCACATTTGCAGGTCTTAGTTTTGCCAGCAGGTGGCAGATGCGGCTCATGAGCTGGTTTGGGGCAAGGACTTGGCCAGAAGCTGAGCTTTGCCACTATTAATGGCTAAGAGAAGACAGCCTCCCTTTCATCATGTGAAACCCCTTTGGTCTTTTCTGCTCTTTTGATAGCCTGGCAGCATTTTCTCTCTAGGTCAAAGTCGGCAGAATTTCAGGGCTGTGGTGAGGGAACTCAGGACGATAAAATACACTGGTGTTCCCACCAATCTCCTCCTAGCCTTAGTTTCTCCTCTGAATGGGGAGCATGCAGCTAATTCCTTTGTTACTGAGTTGTTGTGAGGAATCAGTCACTTCGTACTATTTTCTTTCTCCTTGAACAGAGGAAGGCAATATTTCACCTTCTGGGAAAGCTAGTCACCCAGCATCCAGTGCTGTGATGGCACTGGTCCTGGGAGCAGATGCAGGTAGTGCTCTCCACTCGTCCCACCCCTCAGAGCTCCGCGAGAGAACTCGGGCTGCTGATGCTGCTGAAGGCCCTCGGCAGCCACTTGTCCTCTTGGCTGGTGAGGCCAAAAGTGACCCAGCAGCAGACCAGTCATTGGCCTGCCTCACCACTGTTAGAGTTACTAGTTGGCTGGGCCTGTAGGCTTGCACCTTAGAGTGCAGAGCCAGCACTTCTGGGAGCACTGAGACCCTGGCATTTAGAGGATTGCTATCACATGATAGTTTTATACCTGACTCGAGGTAGATGGGTGGTTGGGCCTGAATGACTTCTCCAGAGACGGTAGTCGGAAATTGGGGCACTCTGTTGACCCCACTCCGCTCAAAACCACTGCAGTTTACGGCTGGGGGTAGTGAGGAGTGATAGGTAAGGACACCATGAGCAGGAGCAAGTGATGCTGGTGCTAGCACTGCCTGTGCCCCAGAGGCCAGTCCTCTCTGCTTAGAGGTGGCTTCTTTGGTGCCCCTGAAGGCCCATCCTGTGGAGCTCTGGCCCAGGCCTGGGCTGTGTGTGGCGGCAGCCACGGAAAGGTTTTCTTGAAGGATTTACCCCCGTGGAGCCTTGAAGTCTGAGGATGAACTGGAGGACGAAGGTAAGCAGGCAGGGAAGGGAGAGGGGTTAGCACCAGCTCGAGGGGAATTTGCAAGGGAGATGGGCACAGTCTGAGGCGTCTGTACCTGGAGGACAGAGAACAGGCACTACCTATCACCTTGGCTCACCTTTCCTTTAGAGGCACACCTTGTCACCCTGCACACTCCCGGGGTGCAGAAGCAGGGAGTGCAGCACCCTTGCTGAGCTCTGACTCACAGGCTCTGGCTTTGGAGCAGAGCTAGAGTCAAGGGAAGGAAAGCAGGTTACAGGGGAAGGCCTGAGAGGAATTCCAGGACAGACACAAGCTGCAGAGGCCCAGGTGGCCCAGAGAGGGAGCAAGCAGTGAGGTAAGCCATCCTGCCCAGAGCACGGAAGATGGAGCTGAGAGCACAGACATGTGGCTAAGTCCAGCTTCAATGACCATGGCAACAGCTCCTCTGGGACCTTTGCACCCCACTTCTGAAGGCCCCATGCCATTCCACCCATGGAACACCTTGAGGACTCCCAACCCTGCGAGAAACAGGAGAGGTCAGTTGGTACCCTCACTTTGCATGCCCATGAAGGAGTCAGGCATCCAGGCATCATGCTTTCAGGGCAGATTTAATAAAGAATGCAAAAAGGTCCTGGTGAGCTACTCAGATCCCAGGTGCCACCTGTTTTGGCAGCCACGGGACTGTCCCCCCTGACGCCTGCCATACCCTACTCAGTCAGAGCAGCATCCAGCTCCAGAGCAGGGCTCGGGCTCCCGACAGGGCGTGTCAGGACTGCTCTCTCCAGCTGGCACCAGACCTCCTGGCACCACTGAGGCCCAGGGCCAAGCTGCAGAGGCTCTGGTTCCTCCCGAGGCAAGCTGAGCAGCAGCACAGAACTCTCCCCACTCCTTTACTTTGGTGCTCTGGCACCTTTTGCCCCAGCAGTCAGGCTTCCCAGGGTTGAAAAAAACTCCTCCATTTCCTTCTGCAGCAGCTGGTTCCTCTTCTCTGCGTCCTCCCGTGCCCGCTCTGAGTTCCTCAGCTTTATTTCCAGCATTGTGTACTTTTTCTTTTCCTGGTCAAGTTGTTCTTCTAGCTGTAACATTCGTTTCCTCAGGTCGGCACTACCTTCTTCGAGTCTTAAAATTCAAGAAGAAAGACATCATTTTAGACTTGGGCCTGCTGGGTTTGCCAAAGAAAACTCCATTGTCAGCAGACACTTGATGGGGCGAAGGAGCTGGTAAGGCCTGGGACCAGGGGAAGGATGTGTGCGGGCTCAGACCCGGTGCTGGGTGAGGCCACACGGACTGCATCTCCTCACCAGACCCTGGGGCTTTTCCCCAAGCCAGTTGGGCTTCATCCCCGAGACCCTCCCCGCTCAGCCTTTGGCACTAGAGGCCAGGGGCCTCCCTGAGTCCTCACTCAAATACGAAGACCACTTACCCTCCCCTCCCAGCCAGCTGTCCTGCTGAGGGATGGACTGCCATCTGGCAGAGAACAGGACTGAGCCCTGCACCCAGAGGGAAGCAGGAAACTGTCCTCACGTTTGCTCTTCTACAAGACCCCTTGAGCTTCAGGCAGAGACAGCAACTCACAGGAAACCCCATTCAGGTTGTCACTTCATCTTCCGTTCCCTCTCGGCCTTCACACCCGAGCCCAAATGTCTCAGCCTCTGGGAAGCTTCTCTTGATCCTCCCCAGCATATAACCCACATTACTGCTCCTTTTTGCTACCACAGAGCTACACCTCAGGCCTCTGTAGAGGTTAACACATCTGTCTTTTCAACCAGACGACCCACTCCTGTGAGACATGAGGGACTTGCTGCGCCTGGCTCCTAGGAACTGACCTGACTACAAGACACATGACTGTGGGCAGGACTCAAACTTCACCGAGCCCTGGTGTCTCACCCTGAAAATGCAGGGGACGGCCTTCCACCTATGCACTGTAGCTACGATGGACCAAGGAGACCACGTGTGCACAGCATACCACCTGGCACGTGGTGTACCTGAAGCAAATATCCATTCCCTGCCCCATCCAGGATGAGGCCTGGGCCTTCACCCTCAACCACTGAACACAGAGCATGGAGAAGGGCTGAAGTCTGGAAGAAGAGAAGGATGCCCACTTTCACTACTTCGATATAGTACTGCAAGTCCTAGACACAGCAATCAGACAAGGAAAAGAAATAAAAGGTATTCACATTGGTAGAGAGGAGGTAAAGTTATTATTTGCAGATGACATGATACTATATATAGAAAACCCTAGGGCTTCCCTGGTGGCGCAGTGGTTGAGAGTCCGCCTGCCGATGCAGGGGACACGGGTTCGTGCCCCAGTCCGGGAAAATCCCACATGCCGCAGAGCAGCTGGGCCCGTGAGCCATGGCCGCTGAGCCTGCGCGTCCAGAGCCTGTGCTCCGCAACGGGAGAGGCCACAACAGTGAGAGGCCCACGTACCGCAAAAAGAAAAAAAAAAAAAAGAAAACCCTAAAGACTCCACGCAAAAACTACTAGAACTGATAAACGAATTCAGCAAGGTAGCAGGATACAAGATTAACATATAGAAATTGGTTGCATTTCTTTATACTAACAATGAAACAAACAATCCCCTTTAAAATTGCATCCAAAAAAACAAAACAAACAACCTTACGAATAAATCTCACCAAGGCGGTGAAAGACTTATATGCTGAGAACTACAAAACATTAATAATAAAGGAAATTGAAGGTGATTCAAAGAAATGGAAGGATATCCCATGCTCTTGGATTGGAAGAATATTGTTAAAATTGTCATACTACCCAAAGCAATCTACAGATTTGATGCAATCCCTGTCAAATTACCCATGACATTTTTCACAGAACTAGAACAAATAATCCTAAAATTTATATGGAACTGTGAAAGGCCCAGAATTGCCAAAGCAATCCTGAGGAAAAAAAAATAAAGCAGAAGGCATAGCACTCCCAGACTTAAGGCAATATTACAAAGCTAGAGTAATCAAAATAGCATGGTATTGGCACAAAAACAGACATATGAATCAATGGAACAGAATAAAGAGCCCGGAAGTAAACCCACACACCTATGGTCAAATAACCCTCGACAGAGGAGGCAAGAATATACGATGGGGAAAAGACAGTTTCTTTAGCAAGTGGTGTTGGGAAAGTTGGACAGCCTCATGCAAATCAGTGAAGTTAGAACACACTCTCACACTATACACAAAAATAAACTCAAAATGGATTAAAAACCTAAGACGTGACACCATAAATAAAACTCCTAGAAAAGAACAAAGGCAAAACGTTCTCTGACATAAGTCATGACAATGTTTTCTTAGGTCAGTCTCCCAGGCAACAGAAATAAAAGCAAAAATAAACAAATGCAACCTAATCAAACTTATAAGCTTTTGCACAGCAAAGGGAACCACAAACAAAACAGAAAGACAACCTATGGAATGGGAGAAAATACTTGCAAATGATGTGACCGACAAGGGCTTAATTTCCAAAACAGCTCATACAATTCAGTAACAAAAAAGCAAACAACCCAGTTGAAAAATGGGCAGAAGACCTAAATAGACATTTCTCCAAAGACGACATACAGATGGCCAACAGGCACATGAAAAGATACTCATCATCACTAATTCTTAGAAATGCAAATCAAAACTACAATGAGGTAGCACCTCACACTGGTCAGAATGGCCATCACTAAAAAGTCTAAAAATAACATGTTGAAGAGGGTGTGGAGAAAAGGGAACCCTCTAACACTGTTGGTGGGAATGTTAAGTTGGTGCAGCCACTATGGAGAACAGTATGGAGGTTCCTCAAAAAACTAAAAATAGAGTTGTCATATGATCCATCAATCCCACTCCTGGGCATATACCCAGACAAAACTCTAATTCAAAAATATACATGCATTCCTATGTTCATAGCAGCACTATTTACAATAGCTAAGACATGGAAACAACCTAAATGTCCATCGACGGATGAATGAATAAAGAAGATGTGGTACATATATACAATGGAATATTACTCAGCCATAAAAAAGAATGAAATCATGCTATTTGCAGCAATATGGATGGACCTAGAGATTATCATACTAAGTGAAGCAAATCAGAGAAAGAAAAATACCATATGATATCACTTATATGTGGAATCTAAAATATGACACAAATGAACTTATCTATGAAACAGACTCATAGACATAGAGAATGGACTTGTGGTTGCCAAGGGGGAGGGGTGGATTCAGAGTTCAGGATTAGCAGATGCAAACTATTATATATATAGGATGGGTAGACAACGAGGTTCTATTGTATAGCACAGGGAACTATATTCAATATCCTGGGATAAACCATAATGGAAAATAATATGAAAAAGAATATATGTATAACTGAATCACTTTGCTGTACAGAAGAGATTAGCACAATATTGTAAACTAACTATACTTCAATTAAAAAAAAAAAGCATGGAGAAGGGAGAAAGCCTTCCTGTGTCACTCCAGCCTCCCATCTGGGGAGCACAGGGCATAATGTCAGAAGACCCTCCCCAAGGCAGGGGCAGCAGGCCCCCCATGAGCCCCCTTCACTGCTTCTCCTCCCGTCCAGGGCCCTCCTTTGCCAGGTCCTCCCTGCCCCTTGGTGCTCCTGAGCACAGCCTCCACGCCACTCCTTGAGGGACCTTGTCCAGCCTCAGACTTGAAGCACTTAAAGCACTCAGTGTGCTGACAACCCTCAATCTTTATCTCCCTCAAGTCCACTCAGAAACTTAGTAAGTATCTCCAGCCTAACAGACCCACAGCTGAGCTCCTGCCCTCCTTCCCCAAGTCACGCTCCTATAGCCCCAGTCTCCCCGGCTCAGTGACCACCTTCTTCCAGATACTCGGCCAAAACAAAAATGGTGTGTCTCAAGTCAGTTCTTTTTCTCACCACCACACCTGATCACCTGGAAAAACCCAAACATATTCAGAATCTGGCTGCTTCTCCCACGTTGTCTGCTGCCCCGTAGGTCCGTGCCAGCCACAGGTCTGACCTGGATGGCCATGGCCTCCTGACTGGTCTTTGTCTGCCTCGTCGAGCGCTCCTGAGCACAGCAGTCAGTGCACCTCATCAAAGTGACCAAAGTCCTCCAGGTCTTCCAGCAGCTTCACATCTCACTGGCAATAAAGTCAAAGCATCACTCCTGCCAAAACAACTTGCCGCCTGCCCCACCCCGACTCCGCCACGCTTTCAGAGCTTGCCCACACTCTGCCAGTACACAGTGGGGCAGGGACTCGAACCCATAGCCTGCCAGGCTGCATTTCCCCTGAGAACCCCAGCCTCCAAGGTGAAAGATCTAGAAGCTCAAGTCAGCTCCACAAACAGCCGAGAAAGTGAGATGTTGATTCTGACCCCCTCTGAGGCTGCCCTCAGACAGTGTCTGCCGAGTAACACTTCCTGTACACTCTGAGCTCATCTTCAGCAGTAATCACCTTCCGGTGAATCTGCAGGGAGCTCCTGCTATTACCTCTGCCTGGTAAATTCCAACCCAGTGCTTACATTGTGGGTTTTCTCCACAATTTCAAACTCTGGAGTTTTACTCACACTGTGTCCTTTCTCCTTGCTCAGCTCAGTCCTATCAGTCCTTCAAGTCCTGGCTCTGACATTGCCTGCTGTGACTTCCCCCATGGAGGGGCTGCTGCCCTCACGGCGCCTTTCCTGCCATCTTCCTGCCGTGAACACAGAGACTGCACACACCTGACACTCCCCAGGTGCCCAGGAGACAGCTGCCAGCAGAACAAGAGGGTCAAATGCTACCATTCCAGCTCCCTGTGGGAATCCCAGGCTCAGAAATAGAAGCATGAATCCCTTCCACTTCCACTGTCTGATGGAAAGAGGAAGCACTCAGAACCCAATGAAGCCCCCTGCTAGTGGGTGGGACATGGGTTCATAGGTCTGATGCGTAGGCTGATGCAAGGCCTTGGGCAAAAGGAGCTAAGGGGTCTGAGATGCTGATGGAAGCACCGCTCACTGTCCAGTGTAGGCTTTGCTGGTGATTTTAATTGGGGAACTCGGCCTCAGAGCTGGAAAATGCCCTCTGCACAGGGAGGCTGGAACCAGGGCCCATCAGCGAACAAGCCTGCAAGCCTTAAAGGGTGGCACGAAGGACTTCCCTGGTGGCACAGTGATTAAGAATCCGCCTGCTAATGGAGGGGACACGGGTTCGAGCCCTGGTTGGGGAAGATCCCACATGGCGCGGAGCAACTAATCCCATGTGCCACAACTACTGGGCCTGCACCCTAGAGCCGGCGAAGCCACAACTACTGAAGCCTGTGCACCTAGAGCCCGTGCTCCGCAACAAAAGAAGCCACCACAATGAGAAGCCCGTGCACCGCAACGAAGAGTAGCCCCTGCTCGCGGCAACTAGAGAAAGCCCGTGGGCAGCATCGAAGACCCAACACAGACAAAAATAAATAAATAAATGTATATATTAAAAAAAAAGGTGGCACGAGGTGTCCTCTGTCACCCAGCGGAAGGGAGGGCTTGGCTCGGCAAGGCCAGCTCCCTCCTCAGAGAAAATCGGATTTCGATCCAGAAGAAGTCCTCACTCTACATCAGGTCCAACCATGGGCAGTCAACCAGGCTGGCCTGGGGCCTGCAGTGCACGTGTGCCCTGCCCCAGTCCCAGTTCCTGGGCTACAGGACATACCTTGGGGGCCTGCCTCCTCCCTGACTGAGGGCCCCAGAGGGACCACCACTCTGAGCCTCTCCATCAAAGGCCTCTGACAGCATGCCAGCCCCTCAGCTCCTGAGCTTTCCCAGACATAGGATCCCCACCCCTCCACTCCCAGCCCTGTCCTGTGGGCATTGTCCCAGAAAGGTGGCTCCTGGGCGCTGGCTTCTCTGAGCCCTGCCTCCAGGAGACTTTCTTTCAGAGCCAGAGGCTGACTGCCCGGACCGGTGCCCAGTGAGCTGGCTGGCTGCAAGGGCCCTGCCCGGCCCAGGGAGCGCCCACCTCACACTCACCCAGCAGCTGCAGCCCTTTACCTTTTCACACTTGTCTCATACTCAGTCCTCTGCCGGCACAGCTCTGCCCGGAGCTCCGTGACCAGGCCCTGGAGAGCCTCAGTACGGTGGGTGAGGTCCTGGGTGGGGCTGCCTGGGTCACTGGGCTCACTGCTGCTGATGCAGGCGCCCACCCTGTCCAGGCCGTGGTCCAGGTCTGGGGATCTGCACTCCTCGCTACTGCTGGGGACAGGGGAGGGCTCGAGGGCCCCCTCAGTGTGGAGAGAGCTGCAGGCAGAAGAGTCACTGGCCCTGCACGCTGTGCAGCTGCTGACCGAGCCCCTGGCTGAGGCCTCG